TCAAAATGAAATTATCTACATATAGGCACTCTTGTTTATAAAAAAAAATATATATATTTACAGCAATGGAGAATGGATACATTTGTACACAGACTTATATATTATATTTATATATATATATATATATATATATATAAAAGCATTCACACTCACAGGGACACTTACGATATGATCTAAATAATGTAGATCATTGACTAATATCCATGTGTTGCGACAACAGGTGATTTAGCTTCTAAACTTAAAGGTTATGAAGATGAAGAAGAGGAAGAAGATGAAGACGACATGATGGCAGTCCAAGGCACTGATGGTCAACAATATGTTGTACTTGAAGTCATCCAATTAGCTGACAATCAAGGAACTGATCAGGTATTGTCAAGCAAAATAGTTTGAAAGATTAATTTATATTTTGGAATAAATTATATATGATTATATATATTTATAATAGATGGCTGTAGTCGCAAATGAAGATGGAGAGCTAGTAATGCAAGATCCTTTAAGTCAAGAAAGTGGTATAGTAGCAGAAACGGGAGAAGAAGTTGATGGAGTAGAAGATGATATAGAAATGCAGGATTTAAAGATAGAATCCATTGCCTCCAGTCCACCTAAACCTTCAACACAGAACACACAAAGTGATCCAAAGTTGCAAAAGGAAATGGAAACTTGTTTTGGCTTTGATGAAGTGAGTATATATATAGTTTTGTTGTTTAATTGATTAATTTTTTGCAAACTTGTCTACATTAATCATGAAAAGAAACAAAATATAAATTTATTTATATAGATAAATACATGATATATATGGCATTTACTTTTTTAGGAAGAAGATGAAGAAGAAGAAGAAAGCAGTAATATAAACATGTTACAGACAATTTCAACACAATAATAACAAATATACGAAGAAGAATGTACCTATTTAATAGTCCAATGTTTTACTTTTGTCCCAGTGTTAGTGTACGTACCCTCCCAAAAAATCATTAAAAAATCGAAAAAATTATATATACTGTGTACAGAAAAAAACTGTGTGAGTGCAGTGTATTATCATTTAAAAATATCCACAAATAGGGGAAACAGTCTAATTGAGTGCGGTAATCAAAACGCAATTTTTTTCTTTTCCAATGTGCTTTATTAATTCTTTAGAGTTATACAGTTTGGTCTTTTAATTAAACCATCATCAGCATCTGTTAAATAATACATAAAAAAAATACATTAAAGTAATATGTGTAAAACAGTAACACATAAATTATAAAAATGAAAATCACAAATAAAAATTACATACATAAAAAAATAAATTAAAGAATGCAAATGTCCTTCTGTGACTTCCGCAACCTCTACGACAGATAAGTACACACAATACGCTTTCCTCCGATTTCAACCGTTAAAAAAGGAAATGCACGGCAGTAGTTGTTTGGAAGCAATCGGCCAACCGTGTTTTTGAAAGTCTACCTGCCTGTTCGACATATAAAGCATCGTAATTTTTGTAGGGAATCTTATACATTGCTGCGCAGCTCATTTGGTAGTATCTTTATGTACAGGGAAAATAATTCGTCGTAATTTATTCCATTGTACAACTTGTGTCTAAATCATAGATCACAGGCTTGAAATGTTCTGAGAATGTACGGGATATTAAAATATGAAAGATATTCAATTTTTTCATTGCTATTCGAGTTAGATATATTCAAATTTACATTCTTCTTATATATTTCCAATAGTGTTTTTAGATGCTCTTGTAATATTTGAAATATGAACGAGAGCAAGCAAATATCCATTATTTAACAAAATATTAATTACAAATTCAAGATTTTTTTTGTAAAATCTCGGGTGAGAAGTGGAAAACTCTGTCAATTAGGCTGATAACGATGTTTTTTTTTTTGGCAGAGAGAATATCGAGACTCAAAGTGTAAGTATCTTCTAAAATAGGTGAAACCACAGTCAAAGTTTAATTGTATAAAATTATCTTTTGAAATCATTGTGACATCGAGAAAATTTACTTGGTCATTGGTTTTTTCCTCCATCGTGAATTGTGATCTTGCGTGGAATGAACTAAATGTTTTTAAAACAACTTTGAGAAAGAGAACATCGAAGAAGAAACCGCCAATATAATAAATGATTGTTCGAACATTGTACAATGCTTTTAAACAACCACTGCCATATATTTCCTTCCTTAATGACTGGAACTGGAGGGAGGCACATTGTGCTTGTTTGTCGTAGAAATTGCTGAAGATGCAAAAGAGCGTTTCTTTAATTTAATTTATATGTAATTTTATATTTGTGAATTTTCATTTTTATAGTTTACACTTTACTGTTTTATATATTATTTTTATGTATTTTTTATGTATTATTTGACAACTGCTGATAATGATCCAATTAAGAGACCAAAACATACGACTTTGAACAATTAATAAATCACATTGGAAAGAAAAAGAATTTGCGTTTCGATTACGACGCCTGGCTTTCAATTAGTCCATTTCCCCTGTTTGTAGATATTCAATATCAGAATCTTCAACTTCGTTTTTCATCTAAAAATACTTTGCATATCTCTAATAGGGAGCTGCAGTGTGATTCACATGCATGGTACAAGAACTTCTTTTGCCATTAGTGCATTAGGTACATAATAATTTATAAAAATATTATAGTTTTGTGGTTTAGTAAAATATCAAGCAAATGTACAATTATAAATTTCTTAAAAATAATATTAAGAATATTAGGTAAGATTGCATATATTAATAATAAGGAAAAGTAGTATAGGATATCTTGGCATAATATTTTCAAGTTTATTTGTAATTATGGTATAGAAGCTCATCACACACACGACTTTCACTAAATGGATGGAACGAATATTAATTCTGTCAAAAACAGCTCGGGAAGATGAAAATAACAAAAATAATATGAGGCTGTAATGTGTAAATAAATGCTTATTGTCATATTTCGAATTAGATATCATTTTAATGTTTCAAATACGAAATATTAAGAAGGAAGTAATTTAAAAATTGTATCAAAAATATTTTATATTATCTATTTATATATAATCATCTTTTCTTATGTTAAAAATTGGAAAATAAGTAGAGAAAATTAAATAAGTTAATATATATTGGTTTCATGGGGGAGATTGATGCATATTATACGTAAAAAGAATATAACATTTTATTAGAGAAAAGATAAGAGTTTTTGTTAAAAAAGAAGAAGCAATATATACATTATTTTTTTAACAAAAATATTTGTTTTGTTTGCCATTCGTTAATTAGACATCAATAATTCGTGCATAACAATTTTTGGCGAACTTCTATGTGTATTATTTATATCATTTTATATATATATAACATAGCGAATTAAACATGTTTTATAGGAAGAAATAAATATTGCAGATTTACTGTTAGATTCGTGCTCTATGTATATTATAAAATTGTCGCGAGTTTATTCACATCTTGTATTTAAATAGCCTTTAATACACATATATAACTGTTTAATAATCATAACCTCGCACGTAGTGTTTCCAATTTAATTTAGGGGCATGATAATTTCCGATAAAATAATTAAAAACAAGAGCACATACATATTAATAAGCGATTTCGATTTGATTTTAGGAGAAATAGTGTATAACAAAACAATCGTTGAAACGATGGATTTCTTTTTATGAAAAGCAAATTTATAAGCTCATGCCTTTTTATCACTGGAAACATTACACTTTTCCAATAAAACATTATACATTTAACATTACAATAAAATCGATAACTTTTTAACATTTTCTTGTTAATAAAGCGATACAAAATATATATCTTTATGAATATGTCAGAATGAAAAACAATGTGTAATTTAAATACTCGTACAATGTTGCTCATGAAAGAAATTATTTCGCTTACCTTTTGTAAGATTCGAGGTAACGAAATAAACCTTGTAAAAAATATGTATAATTTTTTTTTACATACAAATTGTACAATTGTAATTTAGTGATTAATTACTATATGCTGTCTAAAATTCTGCACTTTCTTACATTATCCCAAAGAATAAAAGCGGTGTAACATTTTCTCGATAAATAAACATTATGTCGTCGACAATATATTTATTTCGATCGTTCATCATGTTCACGTTCAGGCTTTAATTTTCCAGGTTTTAATTCTTTTAATTTTTGGGGTGTTTTATCTAGATTTAAAAAATAAGTTTAGATAAAAAAAGTAAGATTAGTTAAGATTGAGATAATGAGTACTGTGATTTATTGACATTTTTAATTTGTAATTTGATCTTTTCTTCTTATCGATATTACTTTATTCAAGTTTGTCGATAAATGGCAACGTTTACCAATGTATATTTACACTCCCCTCTATTAGTGTTATTAGAAAAGACCACACCCAAATGCACCCTTGGTCATCAACCCCATAGGCAAGTTTCTCATCGTCTCGTTTATAGGGATATATCTAAAGCGTTAAAACACGCGATGTGAATTGCGTGACCCATGTTGTAATGAAGATATATATACACATATTACTCTTTTTGAGATAAATCAATCAGAAATCGTGTTTTATTAATGATTTAATCTTAATCAATCTTATTCTTAAAGCCATTCTTTCTCTTGTGTTATATTTTATAACTTATATGTCTTTTTTCTTGTTTATTTTTATTTTTATTTTAATTTCAGTAAAAGTTATCAATGGTAAGTGTTCTGATTAAGAACAGTGAAAGTGCCTCGTCGTCATCGGTTAGTCAAAGAATCGTAACGTTAAGAACGATTTACGGTAAATTCTCTTTCGACCGAGAGATAATCTCGGGTCGACAGCACATACATACTACTGTCGACAAACGAAACGGACACTGGGACAAATGGACGTGACATAGGGTACAGGCCCACGCGAATGCACTCTCTTGGCCTCCCACGGCCTCACCTTTACGTGGCGAGTCGCTGTATACATAGGTAAAAATGTGTGTATATGTGTGTGTGTATGTTGTGTTTATTGTGTGTTGCGAATCAGTTGGAAATTTCCTCTGTCAATATATAGACCTGATCGAAAAAGATTAATTTTTTTTTGTTCCAGAACTCCCTCGCGCGTCCGTTAATCTAAAAAAAGTAATATATATATATATATAATATAATACTATAACAAAATTATGGACGTTTTTAATAGATATTTACCACTCTAATTTTACCATTTTTTTTAGCGTAATATTAATATATAAATAATTCTCGTGCGTGTTATATCTTTTAATATTCAACATATTCTAGATTTTTCTATGCGGGTTAAATATGTGATACGAAAAGCCGATAAATAATCTTGAGATTAATTTTATAATAAAATAGGAAGATAAAATTTAATGAGCAAATAAGCCTCTTCAATAAAATCAACAACAGTGAAATGCTCTTTTATTTTCGATACTTGCAGCTTGATATATCAAAGTTGTGAGAAAATTTTGGTCATAAATGTGAGAAAACTTGAAAGTAGGAATACACATAGCTAACAATAAGTAATAAGATATACCGTAATTATATATTATCTTTTTATAATCGCTATTATTAAAGCTTTTTTCCATCATTGTGGAAAAATAATTTTTGATATTATTACGTAAATTTAGACATTCCGAAATAAAAAAATTTTATGTTGCAAATTAAGTATACCTATATTTTAAGATTCACAATAATCTTTCTTAAAAAATATTTAATAACAAATGAATTAATGACATGTGTATGTTATTATTTTTATAACGCTTTTTACAAACACGTTATTTTTTTGAAAAAAGATAATATTTAATACTATCTTAGAAAAATATCCTTATGAGTAATGAGGTTCTATAATTATAAGCAGATTGCATTTTAAAATTATATGTAGTCTAATGACTACATCGTATTGTGAAAGAACGACAAGAAGAAATTACAGAATATACAGATTTCACGTACACGCAGGGGTACAATAAATTTTTCAAAGCATGTTTTTATATCTTTTCTTTTCGCCCATGCTGTTATTATTATCGTTGAAACTAGATTCGAAAACGTCTCGTTGCCATCGCTAGACACAATCTTGCTACCTCCGCTATAATCTATGCCATGCTCGGCGGAGAACGCGGAGACGCGTGAGATAAACTCACGTGTCGGTGAACTCGTGCCGTGCACGCATAATCGTGGTCTCGGACCACGCGTATGTACATACGTGTACGTGTATACCGCGCAATAAACCGCGCGTACATATATTATATGCAGTTTCCTTTTCACGAGGACCACCTAGACAGACCGTGACGATGATCTAACCGGATTCGACGCTGCGAGAATCTACGTGTTCGCGAATACATTCACGCATACAGGCAAGCGCGGCCGCGCGCAAAATTGCGCGTGCACACGTCGCCCGTACGTAAATTACGCACACGGCTATCATTCCCGGATAGTAAGAGCGGATAAATGAGACACACGATCAAGCAGATACAAGCGTGCGAGCCAAACGTGTATAGGTCTTTCGAAATTCTTTTACGAGCGCCGTTCGCGTGACAAAGGTCGCACTTCGCGTGCGCTCCCAGCCGAGAATATTAAATGGCAATGTTTCATCGTATACGAGATCGACAGAGTCTTACCGCGGAATACATGTTATAAGATCGATCGTGCGTTGAGACGAAAACGTATAGCCAAATGGGTTTCAAATGTCAAGTGCAGGAAAGACATATATCCTTTATTAATGTTGAATGAATCATGATATAAGCAAGAATTCCATTTTCTTCTAATGCTACGTATGATAACGTTTCGGAATTAGATATGTCTCCGAAAAATTTAACTATATTAGATATTTATAGTTTGATCTGCGCGAAGAGAGAGCAACAAAAGCGAAAGTATGAGTCAAAAGAGATTAATAGTGCCAAATAGATTTCTAATCTTTGAAATCATAGAAATTGCTTTTAAAGTTATTTAATTTTCTTTGATCTTCTATCTGGTGCTTATAAAAAGGAAAAAAATAGCGCGAGAAACAGTCGGGGTTCTCACTCATTATTAGACTCACCACATCCATACATCCATACACAGCAGGCATATGTACTGTTACAATTTATAACTCCGAAGGTGTTCCAAGCAGAAAGCTTGTTTTTCCTAAGAGAAATCCGCCAGCGCCGTCACATTTCTGCGGTTTATCTAATTGCCGGAAAGAACTATAACATGGAAAGATTCGCGTTTAGGCTCGCAATGAGAAATTAGGTGTCCGTCCTTGTTGGTTACCCGTAGACGAATTTCATGATCTGTTTTTACTATGAAAGCAATTGTGTCAAACAAATCACTAACTGTTTAATGTATGCTAAAATCCCTTCGATGTACAGCTTAATGATAATCTCTAATGCATCTTTACAAATATTTTAAATAGTAAATATTTTAAAAATTTTAAATAATTATTGCTACTGCGCATTACATTTTTTAAGAGAATCTTTAAAGAATTTTTGGACAATAACAGAACTTATAATTATTATAGGTAATATTAATTAAATTGAAATAAAAATAGAATTATATTATCTAGAATATAAAGAGACAGTGAAACAGTAAATTATTCGAATTATATCTGGAAAAATTTTTGAAACAATATTATATACATACAATCTAAAACGTGCAGTGATATAAACTGCATAGCCGTTTTTACTCACTTCAACCGGAAACATTATGTCCACATAGGTGTCAAATGAGAAATCGACGCTGTCTGGATTTCATCATCTACGATTGACGACTATTCATTGTGCCGGATCTCCTTGCATATTACTAGAGCAAGTACTTTAATTGCAGGATGTCGTTAGTTTATTGCGACAATCAGCCGTGCGAATGACTTCATCTATGATGCGTGACGGCAGGTAAATACTTATCGTTGCTTATAAACCCACCCTATTAATCATTCATTCTATTGTCGTAGATCAGCCTGCAATGATGCATTTAAAATATTTTGGAACTAATGTCTGGCATACATGCAGAGTTTTTACACAAAAAAACAAAGGTATATTTTATAAATGTGATCATTTTTAGTTATATTTATTATATNNNTTTTTTTAAATATATAAAATATATTTCTAGAAAGAAAAATATTTTAACACACATAACGGAGAAAATCAATTAAATTAATTCATCAACTAATATTTATGATAATGATATACAAACACAAACAAAAATCGTGTTAATTCAAGATATTATTGATGCAATCGGCCTTTAATAACTATTCTACCATATCGCAAAAATGGATTATCAGACACCAGATAGAGCGGGATGGAACGAACACACTGAAGTGATAATGAACGAGATAACATGCAGACGATATTGATATTTTTAATGAGACGATGACAATAACTGCAATTCTACCGTGCCTTGCTGCCTTGCGATTCTTGCGTAACGCGCGTTACGCAAATCCGACAGGCGGGATCGCGTCAGCTGTTGGAAAATGTACATTTCCTGGAGATATTATTCGAGAACAATAAGCTTTCGTTATCTTGTTAATTTATACGAAAACACTCTGTCAGCGAAAATACTATGTATATGTATATCCATTGCGTAACACATTACGTATGATAATAGAGTTAGCGTTCTATTATGTTTCTAATTCTAATTCTGCAAAACTGTCAATCTCGAGCGAGTATAAACACACAGCGTATTTCTGATATCGATATTATTTCACATCTCACATAGCAAAAAAATTTTGAAAAATCAAAATTTACTAACTGCAATTTTTGACAGCTAAGTGCACAGCTGCATCCGGAAACGTCGCAAGCATCACTGCGCGTTAAATATGCATAGTTTGAGTTGAGACATATTTTATCTCTCTCTAACTCTATCCTACTTTGTTTGGAACACATTGACTGACACGTGTTAATATCTCCAGACCCGGTCTACCCTATATTTTAAATGGCAGGACATTTTATTACTTTTTATGTTATTAACAATACAAATACTTATCATATACCTGATCGCTTCTCTCTCTATCTCAATTTAATCTTATCTTTGTAATTTATAGAATCTCTGTAATTTATAGAATTTGTTTTCCTCATACAAAAAGTAAAAACCAATAAGTTTGCATTTACTCTTTTGCGTTTCTCGGGCGCA